CCCGATCGCCTCACTCCCGCGCAGCCTCCCGGGGCTCCTCTCCACCAAAGACTTGTTTTGATTTCAGATCTTGAAAGTCTTTTGTAAAGATGGGGTTCTCGCTGTGTTGTCTGGACCATTCTTGGAGTCGCTCTCAAGCGATCCTCCCACTTCGGTCTTCCGGAGCGCTGGAATGACAGCCCGGAACCGCCGCGCCCGGCTCCTTCCACCAGATGAAGCTCACGCTGAGCTGCAGACTCGCTTGGGCCTTTTCTCCTGGTCCTTGCTCGTTCCCTCCCTGTCTTGAGCCCTCGTTCCCGCCCCACGCCTGGCCATTTTCTACCCTGCACACTAACTCTGTGCTCCGCCCAGCACCCTGGTCATCCTTTCTGTTAGCGCTGCCCCTGGCCCCCGGTTCGCGTTTAACTGTTCTCATAAAAATCCTCAGCTCTCCCCGGTCTCTGCCGCCTTTTAGAGGCAGTCCTTTGGGATGTGAACAAGGGAAACTGCCCCAGTCATGTTTGGGAAAAGCTAATTTAAATGTAGACAGTAACGTTAGTTCCTTTAACGCACTTTGTGTGTTGTCACATCCCTCACTGCAGCATGTGACTGTAGAGGTCCAGAGTTAGTCTCGCCTTTTTTTTTTTTTTTTTTGAGTTGGAGTCTCACTCCGTTGCCCAGGCTGGAGTGCAGTGGCACCCTCACAACCACCCCAGCATCGACCTGCTGGTCTCCAGGGATCCTTCCATGTCAGCTTTCCAAGTAGCCAGAACTACAGGCATGCCCTACCACGGCCTGCTAATTTTTTATTTATTGTAGAGACTAAGTCTTACCAAGTTGCCTGGGCTGGTCTTGAACTTGAGGGATCAGGCAATCCACTCGCCTCTGCCTCCCAAAGATCCTAACTGAGCCACCTCCCTTTTAAAACTTTTCCTTCCATTGAAAAGGTCTTGTCGGACTCACTTCTAACATTCCCTTCAATTGTCACATTTCCCTGGGTAGCACCTGGGGAGATAAGGGCATGAGGACTCCAGCCTCACGGCCCTTCCCTCAATGCCCAGGGTAGAACAGAGCCCAGTCTACATTTGTTCATAAAACCAAGAATTGTAAAGCACTGGATGGTAATTTAGCGTCTCTGCATTACGTATTTCTAGATATGGATCAAAAACTTTCAGAGTTGATAGAAGAGCTCACAACTTCGGGAGAGCCCCAACTGAATCCTGAGAAAATAAAGGAGCTGAAGAAAATTTGCAAGTATGTTCAGCAGTTTACTGTAACTGACTGGTCAGTGGGCTCATGGCAAACCTGGGAGACTGGGGCCTTCCCTGGGGCCTGGCCCGATACCCCCCTTGTACGTCGCAGCCATCTCCTGCCCACCCCAACAAGTGACTTCCTCCACTTGGGAGAGAACCACCAAAGGAACACCCCCAGTGTTTTCCCAGAGCCCTGCAGTGCCCAGTTTTGACAGGTAGGCGTGTTCTGGGACAGAGGTCCTAGTGTGTAGGGCCTGTGGCACTGATGAGAACAAATCAGGGCTCTGTGTACCTCTCTTCATTCACCTGTGTGTGTGTGTGTATGTTTGTGTGTATGTGTGACAGAGCACATAATTTATGTGTTCTTGAGTGCACACATGTGATTTACAGATAAATACATTTCTCTTCTTTACTCTTGGAATATGCGAAGGGAGAAAGATTAGAGCTTGCCGGTCGGCAAGTTGCTCTGTCTTAATTTTTTTTTTTTTTTTTTTTTTTTTTTTTGTT